TTCACTTGATAACGTATAAATTTGTTTTCTACCATCTTAAGGAAGCGAAGAAGAAGAAACGCAAACGCTGCAGGGTCAGGAAGAAGGAGGGATGCATTTGATTCCATATATTGTACTGTTAGGTCCAAGTTGCCATATTTTACATAAGCTAAAGAGTCCTTTTTTCATGTTCTTTGTGTGAGTGCTTCCCAAGTGCACTCATGCAATTCCATGTAATAATAATAAAAAAAAGCCTATTCTAGTTCCAAATGTACTTAATTTAAATACTCCAAGTAAAACCACTAGAGTATTCTCAGTAAATAAAGAGGAGAACATGGTTGTTTGGAGACAAAAAACTACTCTCTGTTCTGCCTTCCTGTTCCTTGACTGTTCCTTCTGATGTAAAAGGAAAAGACTCAGGCAGAATGCTGGGACCTAGAAGACACATAATATAAGTATCAAGTGGATGAACTCAGGAATATATTTCTGTTCTCCTACAAAATAATAATATACGGGTACTCCAAAAAGTTCCTGGAAAAATAGAATTAAAAGGTAATACAAATCTTTCCATGAACTTTTTAAAGTACCCTCATAATATCAGCTAACAATTGTTGTGCTTATTATGTGTCCTGCACTATTCTGAGTCATTGCAGGCATGACCTCACTTAATACTCACAGCAACCATGTACAGCAGGTTCTATATTATCCCTATTTTATACAGAGGGGAAACCTGAAGCTTAGAGGTCACCTTGGCAAGTAGTGGAGCAGGACCGAGCAGTCTAATTTCATAGCCCCTGTGATTAGACACCATGCTCTGCCAGTTCATCAAAGACAATGGATAGGTCCATAGCCCCAGGATAATTTTTCTACTGGAGTCTATGTGTTATCTTTTTTTCTCCTGGGGAATTCATCATGAGCCCAACTAAATTGCAAGCTTGACTGATCTGGGATGCACTCCCCTGGTCCCATTCCTCCAGTTGGGATGAATCTTGGATGTCTGAGGTATAGCTTCTCACTCTGCTGTAAGCAACTGGAGGATACGGGCACCGTTTGGAGGGACTTCAGACTGGAGAAACTGAAAACTTCTCCACAAACAAATAGCTGTTAGTGGCAGGGCTCAGCTCAGAACTCATCTTCCTACTAAATATTCTGCACTACAAAGTTTCAGACTATCAATTCCTAAAGGTGCTCGGAGACTAAATCCTCTCCATCTCTGTATCACCAGTATCCCCAAGGAACTGAAGCGTATTAGTCCATTTCTGTTGCTTATAACAAAATGCTCAGAATTGGGTAATTTGTAAGGAAATGAAATTGCTTACAGTTTTAGAGGCTAGGAAGTCTGAACTCAAGGGAACACTTATGAAGAGGGCCTTCTTTGGGAGCGGCTTTACAGCAGTGCAGGGGTCTCACATGGTAGAAAATGGTGGAGTAGAGACAGCGAACTTCTCACATGCTCCTCTTTTAAAACCCTTAGAACCACGCCCCTGGCCATTATTAATCCATTCACTACAGCATAGTCCTACAATCTAATCACCTCTTCAAGGCCCCATCTTTCAGTTACCATAATAGGATTTCCCACCCTCAACAGATAACAGTGGGTTTTGGGGAGACATACGGCCCAAAGCATTCCACCCCTGGTCCCCCAAAACTCATGTCCTTTTCACATACAGATACATTTGTTTCATCCCCACAGTCTTGTTTCAACTCGAAAGTCAAAAGTTCAAAGTCCCTTCTGTGAAGTCAAAACAAATTATCTACTTCCAAGAAACAATGGTAGGACAAATATAGGGTACATATTCCCATTCAAAAAGGAACAAAAGGACAAAAGAAAGGGGTAACAGGTCCTAAACAAGTCCAAAACCCAGCAGGGAAGGCATTAAATCTCAAAGCTGGGAAATCATGTACCTTGACTTCATGTTCAATGTCCTCTGCACACTCTTGTGGGGGCTGGGTCCCCAAATCCTTGGGCAGTTCCGCTTCTATGGCTTTCCTGGTCTCAGGCCACACTTCAGCTCTTACAGGCTGGGGTTGCACACTGGTAGCTCCACAGTTCTGGGGTCTCCATGGTGGTCCTGCTTTCATGGCTCCACTAGACATGGCGCTGATGGGGTTTCTCTGCTGCAACTCTGACCCCACATTTCCACTCTGCATTGCTCTAGCGAAGGCTGTCTGCGGTGACTCGGCCCCTGTGGCTGATCTCTTCCTGGGCCCACAGACTTTTCCATACATCCTTGGAAATTGGGATGGAGGCTCCTAAGCTTTCACACCTCTGCATTCTGCAAGCCTGCATACCTAACACCACGTAGATGCCGCCAAGGCTTCCAGCTTGTATCTTTGGAACCTGTGGGTCCAGCCATACCTGGGGCCAATTTAGCCATGGCCAGAGCAGTAGAGGTGTGGGAAGCAGCATCTCAAGGTGGTACTGGGCAACAAGCCTGAGGAGGGTGCCTCAGTTCTGTTCCCAAGACCATTCTTTCTCCCTAGGCCTTTGGGCCTGAAATGGAAGGGTTGGCCCCAGAATCTGCTGCAGTGCCTTCAGGGCCTTTCCCACCTTTTCTTGATAATCCCTTTCTTTCGTATTTTCTTAGCACCATTGCATTTTACTTCTGAAAATGCTCTCTGCTTCTCTACCACATGGCCAGGCTCCAAATTTTCCAAATCTTTATGCTCTGCTTTACTTTTAAATTCTAGCTTTACATCATGCCTTTGCCACCATAACTCAGCATAGGCTGTTGCAAGTAGCCATGCAGCTTCCTGAATGCTTTGTTGCTTAGAAATTCCTTCTGCCAAATACTCTGGTTCACAACTCTTAAGTTCCAACTTCCACAAAGTCCTAGGGCATGGACACAACGCATCCAAGTTCCTTGCCAGTTCACAGCAAGGTTGATCTTTGCCTCAGTTTCCAGTAAGTCCCTTCTCATTTACATCTGAGACCTCCTTAGAGTAGTCTTTATAGTCCATATTTCTATAAGCATTCTGGTAATCACCATTTAACCAGTCTCTAAAACATCCCAAACTTTCCCTGGTTTTCATGTCTTTTAAACTCCCACAAACAGCTAGGCTTTTTCTAGCCTACTCCTCCAAATTCTTTCAGCCTCTCCTCAACACCCAGTTCCAAAGCTGCTTCCACATTTTCAAGTATTTGTTATAAGCAACACCCCACTTTTCTGGTACCATTTTCTGTCTTAGTCCATTTCTGTTGCTTATAACAAAATATACAGAACTGGGTATTTTATAAGAAAAATGAAATTTATTGCTTACAGTTCAGAGGCTGGGAAGTCCAAAGTCCAGGGAACACTTATGGTGAGGGCCTTCCTTGGTGGTGGCTTTACAGCAACAACAGGGTCTCACATGGTAGAAAATGGTGGAACAGAGACAGCAAACTTCTCATGTGCTCTTCTTAGAAAGCCCTTAGAGCCACGCCCCTGACCACCATTATTAATCCATTCACTACAGCAGGGTCCTACAATCCAATTACCTCTTCGAGGCCTCACCTTTCAATGACCATAACAGAATTTCCCACCCTCAACAGTTACAGTGGGAACTAAGTTTCAGAGGGACATACAATACAAGGTATAAAGGATGGACAGAAGGTTCCTAGAGCTCCAGGCTTGGCATTTTATAAGCACTGTCTCCTGAAATCTTCCCAGTAACCTAGTGAGTAGCATGTTTTCTGCTGAGAAAAGTCAGAGACATGTACAATCTGGTCCAGGCCAATAGTTAATAAGTGGAGAAATGCTATTCACAGTGGGTCTGAATCCAAACCCTGCAGGCCTTTTTCCTCATGGAAGGCACTGCCTAGTACAAGTCCCCTGTGGGCCCCCCATAACTGTGTTTTGAATGGAACTGGCTCCCTTTTATGAGCTACATCATTTCTAATATAAGTAAAACCACCTTGAGTGAATAAAAATTGTGGTGTTTTATGGGATTCCTAAAAACTTGCAATCTATAGGTGTGAGGGATTTTAAATCTTACTTTATTTCTGAAAAAGAAATACTCACCTAAAAATGAGAAAAACTTACACAACATCCAGGTTTCTCTTTTCCTTTGATGAATTTGCTTTGTTTTAAGTTTAGTTGATCACACTTAATCATGCCCACTTCTGTGCTATGTCAAGACTGAAAATATGCCTCTTTTATGGCTCTTTTCCATGGTACCATTTTCCAAGGCACCATTTTCTAAATGTTTATATTTCTCCAACTAGACTGTGAGCTCCTTGACACCATGGGGGTTTTGTATTCACTGTTATAGCCCCAGAGTCCCAGGTGCTTGAGATATTTATTGAATAGATGGAGGGATGAATGAATGAATGAATGAACGAACATTTACAGGAGGAGGGGTGTGAGAGGAATTGGGAGAGGAGAATCGGAGAGAAGAATCCTGGTTCTGAGAGTCGCTTCCATTATTTTATATCATCACAAACAATAAGAACCAGAAAGAATTTCAAGGGTAATGTGCTTTTATTAATCATTTCATTTTTCAGATTTAGAAACTAAACTTCCCAAACAGTCAGGTGTCTTGCTTAGTGTTTCTTGGCAGATTTGTGGCAACCAGGGCCAGATACCAGCTATCTTGGTTCCCAAGGGTTTCCCACTTCTCTACCTTTCCAAGTTACTTTTCAAGGGTGGGATATTGCCTTCAGAAACTCCCACCTAGGGCTGGCCCGGTGGCGCACTGGAGAGTGCGCCGCTTGAGAGTGCGGTGGCGCTCCCGCTGAGGGTTCGGATCCCATGTGGAGACCGGTTCCCGCTCACTGGCTGAGCGCGGTGCGGGCGTAACACCGAGGGTTGCGATCCCGTTACCAGTCAGTAAAAAAAAAAAAAGAAACTCCCACCTACAACAGATTGTGGTGATCTTTACATCACAGTATCAAGGAATGCCTATAGGCATTTGTCTACTATTTAAAAACCATAACAGGTCCTTGTTGTCGTGAGCATGGCTGCTCTGGTGAGCCCTGGGGGCAGGGCTGTAAGGAATAGTGCTAAAGCCACTAAGTGAAGTAAGATTTTACTAGAGAGGAAATGGCTGCCTCATCATCATCATCTTCAGCTACCGGGGTCAGTGGAAGTTCCGTCACTGGATCTGTATCAGTGTCTCCGACCTTGCCCCTCCACGGGAATCCCAAAGGAGCTAGAGAGATGTTAGAAGATGGCTCTGAGAGATTCCTCTATGAATGTGTTTTCAGCTATCAAGTGGCATCCATGCTTAAACAGGTGAAACATGACCAACAAGTTGCTTGCTTGGAAAAACTAGCTGTTTTGGTAGAAGAGCTGGAGGCCGATGAGTGGCAGTTTAAACCCATCGAGCAGCTGCTGGGGTTCACGCCCTCTTCAGGTTGATGTTGCCCAGATGGTCACCTCTGGTGCACAGCAGGTGCAGAACCAGCAAGGGACTTCCTCACAGCTGACATAGGCATCCAGAGAATTCACAGCTACACTGCAGAGTGTACATTCACATCCATACTTGATCTCTCTGTATCTATCCACAGGCAACAAATACTTGCAGGGAAAATTTTTGTTTGTTGAAAACTATTGTGAATCAAATTAACACAATCAGTTTCAGAGAACCAGGAAGTTTGGGTTTAAAAGACATCTTTACAATTTTGACAAGCCAGGTAGGACACATGCCAGAATTGGCCAACTGAGTGGTATCTATCCTGTTATTCACATAGTGCCTGGAAATCTTCACCAATCAAGTCCAAAGTCAGGATATGTAGTTATAAAATACGGCATCTCTGACCTAAAACAGTTCTTTTTGCAGATGAATGTGATTTCAACTAAGGATCTGTCCAAATGAGGAATTTTAAAGTGCTCCTTTTATTTCTATTTTTAGACATTTAATTCTATAGATTCTAACTTTTTCTAACCTCCTGTAGACATGCCAAATGCTGGCAAAAAGAACTGCTTTTTGAATATTGCAGCACTTGTAAAAATAAAGCAGTGAGAAAAATCCTTTTAAACATAGAAATCCTGAGTTCATCCCATTAGTGGACCCAAACAATTCTGTAGCAAATAAATCCTTTGAAAGAGCTCCAATAAAATAAAATATATAACAGTATAAAATTTGGCATCCATCACTTAATTGACAACTCTAATTTTGAGCAAGAGGACTGTGTCCTCACCTCCTGTTTTCATTCTCTCTTCTGCATTTTCTTCTACCCCCTTTTGTCACCCCCTTTCTCTTCTTTCCTGCTTGCCAAAGCCCATACATTCTAAGTCCTCCCATGCCACACCCTGCCACTCCTTAAGAGCTGCTGTAAAGAACGGATGTTTTGTGATCTTAACAGTGGGAGTCAGTTGTGATATTTTTATAAGCAACCCACCCCTCACCCCAACCCAGGGCAGCCCTCCAGCACATGCAGAGCGTAGGTCAAATTTCTCCTTTTGCCAAGTCCACTTTACTCTCTTGGTTGACATAGCTCCTTCTCCCTTGGCCATTTTCAAAGATGAGATCATTGCTTCCTGAGTCCCTGAGCACATTCTCTGACAGATGCAGAGGTATTAAGTTGGAACCAGTCAGTTCAGTTCTATTCTACAAACAGTCATTAAGCAGCTCTATAAGCATCCTAGTGATTGAGCGTGTGATCTGAATTCAGATTACCCCGGTCAATCCCAGCTCTATCACTTCATAGGACTGTTACCTCAAGCAAGTTACTTAGAAAGTATTAGTTTCTCTACCTTGAAAAGGAGGATAATGATAAGACCTCTCTTGTAAGGTTACTATAAGTTTAAATGAGATAATCTATGCAAGATGCGTAGCATAGTGCCTGGTACATAGTGACTGATAAATGTTAGCTACTGATATTATTTGCATGTTAAACATGTACTATGTTAGGCTCTTTGGAAGTCAAAAAAGACATAAGATACAGCCCCTGTTATTAAGGAGCTCTTATGTAGGCAAAGATACCAGTCTTCAAAACAGTTGGTAAAATGTTCAAAGAATTCAAATAGAAAAAAGTGTGTATTTTAAAATATGACATATGAATGTAAAGCCCAAGGAAAGGGAATTTGATGTATTCCTATCTTTCTGATTTGCCCAAAGCCCAGTTAGACTTATTCTCGTGAGCACGTTTCAAAGCTGTTGATCATCTGAGAATACTACTTGAGAAGAAAAATTTGACAAATGGTAGCTATTTGTGACATTAGCACTGAGATTTTACAACAGGGAATCACAGGGAGGTTGGCTCTTTCCTCAGCCAAATCACTTCACCTCCCTCAGCCTCATTTTCCTTGTGGTTAAAACCAGCAGCCTGGAGCAGAAGCTCTCTGAAGTCCCTCGGGCAGTAACATCCTACAACTCAATAAATTCTTTTTTGACATCAGTGTGACAACCAACCCCAAATATTAAGAGGCCCCCAGCTCTGCTTCAAGAGCTACTGATAAGCCAGCAACTGTCTATAGGTCATCAGTCCTGGGTTAGGGGTCCCTGTTAGGCATACCCTATGTTATAGGAATCTGTCACAGTATCACATTATTGCTCTTAAAAGATATGATTTCAAGGGCCGGCCCATGGCTCACTCAGGAGAGTGTGGTGCTGATAATGCCAAGGCTATGGGTTCGGATCCTGTATAGGGATGGCCAGTTAGCTCACTGGCTGAGTGTGGTGCCGATAACACCGAGCCAAGGGTTAAGATCCCCTTACCGGTCATCTTTAAAAAAATATATATACGATTTCGCCGGCAATGTATTTGAACCCACATAACAACGAGCCATATCATCACAAAACTTTTCCATAATTATGTCAAATGTAGGGCATTGCTCCATTTGAAAAGGAAAATTGCCCACACACTAGAGTTTTCTTCTTAGCGTATGCTATTTGCTTAACATCTTTCTCAAATGTGGACATTCCAAATCACACTAGGGGTTCTAATTTAAAAAATCTCCTCAATTGCTAGCAAACCTTCTGACGCAACTAGCTTCTGTTCCCTGTTTGTTATTTTCTGGTTTTTTTGTTTGTTTGTTTTTGAAACACTAGTCTTTTTTGCTCTGGCCTTAGAGGTATTACACAAACTAATTTATAAAATTGCTAGGTTTAAGTGGACAGCAGAGAACTTACTGTTGATTGGCTCCGGAGATTACTTTCAAAATCTTTTGGGTGTTTTTGTGTGTGAATAAATAGATTTTTCTTCCATTACTTGGGTTTAGGAATTAACTTTCATTTACCCCCAGCGAATTTTAGCATCTTGAAATTATCAGCAGACCAAGCTTTAGGACACTGACTATACTTTCTGTCTGCCCTATATCCCCTTCTTTTAGAAACTACCCCTTTCTGACTCCACGTGATTCTCCAGAGACTGTAAATCATATGTTTACTCCTTCCCAATGAAAGGGCTGGACCCAGGCTGTCCAACCAGAGTATTCCACAGTCCTGAAAACGGCCTTGTTGGTACTTGCATAGGCATTAACTCAAGAAAAAGCAATCAAAATCCTTTATGAAGGACTGACATAGATGCTAGGGTAAAGATGGATATGTCTTTTCTCTACCAGGTCTAGCTCAAAGGACTCAGTAAGCTTTCAGTTGCTGGTGATCATCTCTGCCACACATGAGACAGCTTGCCTAAGAATGATCATAACCAAAAGATGGCAAGAGATGGGGGCGGTGAGTAGGGGAGATTCCTGGTGACACTGTTTGAACCACTGGATCCATAGAACTTATCTTATGCCTGATGCAAGCCCAACTCTTGGACTTCCTAGATATGTGAGCAACTATACTTCTTTTTTAGCATTAGCTAGTCTGAGTTGGGTTTCTACTAAAACTAAAAAAGCCCTGGCTTATCTTTTCCTGGGTTACAGTACCATCTTCATAGTATATGTGTTATCTTGGATAAGCTATTCACTGCCTTAGAGTCTCAGCTTCCTCAGTTGTAAAATGGAGATAATAATAGTTCCCTCAAAGAACTGTTATACAAAATAAATTAAATAATACACATAAAATGAGAGAAACTATTTGAAAATCACATATCTGATAGAGTCTAGTATCCAAAATATATAAATTCCTACAACCCAGCAATAAAAAGTGAATAACTAATTTAAAAACTGGGCAATGGAGTTGAACAGACATTTCTTTAAAGATATACAAATGGATAATAAGCACACGAAAAGATGCTCAACATCGTTAATCATTACGGAAATGCAAATCAAAATCACGATAAAATACCATTTCATACCAACTAAAACAGCGATAATTAAAAAGATGGAAAGTAACAAGTGTTGTCAAGGATGTAGAGAAGTTGAAACCCTCATCCAGTGTTGGTGGGAATGTAAAACGGTACAACAGCTTTGGAAAACAATCTGGCAATTCCTCAAAAGGTTAAACATAGTGTTGCCATATGACCCAGCAATTCTACTCTATTATGGATTGAATGCTTGTGTCCTCCCCAAATTCCTGTGTTGAAATCCTAATCCCCAATGTGAAGGTATGAGGAGGTGTTGCCTTTGGGAGGTTAATTAAGTCATGAGGGAAGAGACCTTATGCATAGGAATACTGCCTGATATAAAAGAGACACCAGAGAGCTCTCTAATTCTTTTTTAGCCATTTGAGGATACAACCAGAAGTCAGCAGTCTACAACTGTGAAGAGGGCCTAACCAGAACCCAATCATACTGGCACCCTGATCTTGGAGTTCCAGCCTCCAGAACTGTGAGAAATAAATTTCTGTTGTTTATACGTCATTCAGTCTATGGTCATTTGTCAGCCTTAACTAAGACACACTTGTAGGTAAGAGAAATGAAAACATACATCCACACAAGAACTTGTATACAAATGTTCATAGTAGCACTATTCATAAAAGTTAAAAAGTAGAAACAACCCAAATGTCCATAAACAGATAAATGAATAAACAAAATTTGGTATATCCGCACAATGGAATATTATTCATCCATAAAAAAGGAACGAAGTACTGATACATGCTACAACATAGATGAAACTTGAAAACATTATGCTAAGTGAAAGAAGCCAGACACAAAAGGCCACATATCATATGATCTTATTTATATAAAATATCCAGAACAGGCAAACCTAGAGACTGAAAGCAGATTGGTGGTTGAGAGGGGCTGGGGGGGAGTGAGAAATGGGCAATGACTACCAATGGGCCCAGGGTTTCTTCTGGGGATTGATGAAACTGTTCGGAATTAGATGACGGTGATAGTTTTATACAACTTTGTAAATACACTAAAAACCACTGAACTGTACACCTTAAAGGTGTAAATTTTATGTTATGTGAATTTTATCTCAATGTCAAAAATAACCACTATGTTGATGCAGGTAGAAGGTATAACTAACCTCTAATAAAAACTATAATGTCTATGATTTAGTATCTACTGTGTACAAAGCAATTTATA